CTGAACAGAACCTAGACACTTCAATAAAATCTCTGTTTTCAAAGGCTGCAAAACCTGAAAGACTATGAAATACCTCAAATGAAATGGTTGATGGGTTGCATGCTGTTGAGTGAACAACACATTGTTCAGATTTTCCATAGACATAAACTAGATTTGCCGGGACAAACTAACAACCACCAAGATGATTCACACTTCTGTCTTTTATAGACTCCAATTTGCTGTTGACTCTACTTCCAGGACATATTAATCTCCTATACCTTTAGCACATCTTTCTGGCCCTCATGCTGGTTTCTAAATGTACAAAATTGCAATTGGCTTTGACTGAAAATTACAAAGAATGAATTTGATTTGGTTTTATTCTACTTTAACCATTGCAGTATTCACCAGCTTGCAAATATCATCCACAAATAGGGCAATGTCTTCATTGTTTCAAAGATCCACTGCTATAATAAAGCTAGGTGGTATATTCTAACACCAATAAGCAAAGTTCCTTGCATTGATTTTTCTTTAGCCTTGGAAATTTCAGAAAGCCATATCTTTTCCAGAATCAAATTCATTGAAACACAAGTACAGGGACTCAAAGGGCCACTGCATGTTTTGGTTTACTTACATGGAGACTGTGCTCTCCACATCATTACAGAATACCTGCGTTCATTAAACACATGCATGAAATAATGTTTTAGCGCTCATCGAGCTCCTTTTCTTCTTTAAATGAGATGTACCCTTGGAAACATGAGTGCTTTTTTCATCTAATAACAGCCTGTTAAGATAATGGATAATAATAGGGTGCGGTGAATGTCGCATCACTGTTTCTAATTCACATTCTAATACATATTCTTGACATTCAATCTACCCCACATTTAGCTTATCTCACATGATTTCCATTAACTTCAAATGATTTTGAATCAGATCTAAGAAGGATTGCCACATCTATTTTGGACAATATTTTTAGTGAAGCTGAAAACAGAGACCTTCTATGCACACATACTTTGAAGTATGACAAAATTATAATTACTTCAAAAATGAACATCAAAAAGAAAATGTATCCATATTTCCCCGTCACTAATTCTAGCCACTCACAAACTTTTATCTCTGAAACTCCCTTACATGGCTTACAAATGCTCAGCTTTGGAACCAGATTTCTCCCATAGCTAGTGATAACATTTGACATGTTTTGTTTGCCAAACATTATAGAGTCACCTGTTACTGCAGATTTTTAAAGAATGTTTAGTCTCCAACTAGTGTAAATCTCTCATGCATCAACTAGCTGACTTAATGATAAGTATCATTAAGAATCTTGTCATTTTTTCTGAATTTCAAATTATCCAGGTGTTTTCCATTAGATCTATGTTCTATCATCAGGAAATTTTAAACACATCCTTTAACATACCTCACTTCCTAGAGTGGGATTTATTTTTGCGTAAACATGTTTTGGACTAAATCATGCTTCTATTAAACAGCATTTTAATCTTGGTTAAAGACCCCTTAGTCTAGGTTTTCTATTATGTGACCCATTTCTTCAAATTACTTAATGGAAACTTGTGCAACAGCATATGGAAAGATTACTGCAGTTTAGCTATTTAAGATTAGCTAGCACTTAAGCAATACTACACTTGGCCCAAAAATATCTAAAAAGAAAGGTCACTTAAAAATACTTAAGGCAAAGCTTCAAGCCTCCAATTTCTCATATCTAAAAAGATAACCATAATACATCTGCCCAAAGAAAGTCTATTAAAACAACATAACTCCTCCTAAACCAGGTTAAGGTTCTGTGCATATAATTCCCAAGATTATAATTGGTATACTATTTTTGTGGGCACTTTAATTATTGTTCTAACTGTATTTATTGAATTGCACTTGTATCTTAACTTCCTTCCGAAGAGTTCAGAACAATGCAGTTTCATATGCACTCCTTCACATTATTTTCAGGGCATGAAAGGATGAAGTCAGGATGACCAAAGTTTATCTCCACAGCTGCTTTATCAAGTGAAATTTTGAAAGGGATTTCTCCAACTTTGAACTGACACTCTTCAGACCATCACCCTAATTATTCTCCAGAAGAAAATAACTGTTCATATAATCTTTGTTAGAGTCAAGTAATTAATATAATCATGCCAACCGACTCTTCTTCCATCACCTTGTCCTTTGGGAGACCACAAGAGTTCAGTGAATGCTAGAAATACCCAACCTTCCTTCTCCTGGTGAACAAGCTCATATTCTTACTTGTCAGGAGCTTCTGGCACATTCCAAATCTGAACCAAAAGGTCCTAATATATAATGTGCCTTCAAACTGTAGTCCTAGTTTAGGATACAAATATACTTAATATCTTTAAGAAAAATATATTTTATAGTGGAGAGATTATAAAGCAAAAGCTATTTTAAAAAAAACAAATTAAGGACCCAACAGAATTGAGGCATTTCTTCTGCAGAACTAGACTAGCCTAGAAAAAGAATTGCTATTTCATTTGGATTGTCCGAGATACATCCTGGAAAATGGACCAACTTCCAAGATACAAAGGTCCTTATATATTCCTCTCCCATGCTTATCTACAATTGCATCAGATTGCCCTCCAGGGTCAAAAAGGGGCACCTTAAAACCCCAACAATCAGATTTAAAGCATATCTCGAACCGTAGAGGAAGCTTTTTTTTTTTCACCTAAGGGGAAAAAAACCCGATTGCATTATAAACCATCAGTAGAGTTGGAAGAAGTTAAAGTGCTGGGGTGGGGGTGTCTTTACCTCGGAATAGACGTAAAGAGGCAGCACCAAGATGGCTAAAAGGAGGTCGGCCACGGCGAGGCTGACGATGAAGTAATTGGTGGTGGTCTTCAGCGCTTTCTCCGTGCAGACGCTGAGGCAGACGAGCAAGTTGCCGCTGATGATAAAGAGGATGAGGAAGATGCCCAAGACCAAGGCGGCATAGTTGCGGGCCGGGTCCTGTTCAGGAGGAGGGTAGGTGCCGTTGGAAAAGAGGAGGTCTTCCGTGTTGTTGGACCCCATGGCCTCTCCCGCCCAAGCGCCCTCTCGCCTTCCTTCCTTCCTTCTTTCCGCGGTTGGGAGCCAAGCGGTCGCCCGCCTCGCCCGGTGGAAGAGCAGCGGTCCGCTCGAACTTGGCCGGCGATAGAGTCACCTTTCCCGGCAGCTGGGCTGGCGGGAGTCAGTACCCAGGCTGCCCCACTCCATCTCCGAAACGACCGAGCCGCTTGCCCCGATCCAACCAAGCCGCTCTACTCCCGCTGCTGCCGCCGCTGCTGCTGGGGGTTGATCGGGATGAGGGGAGAGCTTCGCCCTATCAGTCCTTCCCGGAACTTGTCTTAAGTTAAATTCTCACACTTCGCCCATTCCACGCCCATTCCGCGCCTTAGCCGGGCGCGGTCCAAACTAAACCCCCCTCGAGTTCCGCGGGGCTCACTCCGAGCGCCACCGGAGACCGCCCTTCCGCACGCCCAAAAGAAAGAGAGGGAGAATAGCTGGCGCGGCCCTGTGGAATTCTTGCCGACTTTCCTCCGGCTTCTGCTCACGGGCAGTCGGGCTAGTTTTGCACGGCTCCACAAGTGGGTCGCCTCCAAGAGGAAAGTAAGCTGATTAGGGCGCAAGGCTGGAGGGAGGGGAGGGAGAGAGAGAGAGAGAATGCTGCTACGGCGCTGGAAGGCCCGGCCGGTTCGCTTAGCCAATCAGCAGCGGCCTGAGGTGCAGATAGGACGACCGGCGGACCTTTCCCGAGTCGCCTCAACGCCCGACGTGAGTTGGCGCCCAAATTCGCCCCCCTCTCCAGCCTCTCCGTCTGACAGAAGGAGTCGCGCTGGCGCTCCGGAGACATTGTTCCAGGACTGAGGGCCGCGCCGTTCCCCGTCAAAGAGCGAGGAAGCCGTTGCTTTCCCAGGACGCCATCCCCTGGCAATGGTTCTGCGAGACCGCTCTCGCCACGTGGTCGCCGCCGAGCCAGAAGACTTCTGACTCGGCGCGGGTTCGCTAAAGAGCGGGAAGGGGCTGCTGAGCTGAAGGAGGAAATTCGAAAATAAATAGGTTTCCCCGTTCCGAGTGTGAAGTTCGCGTGGACAAAAGGGAGGCAGCATTCCTGCTTTGGAATTAGTCTTCCAAAAATACTGAAGGGAGGGAAGAGTAGGTGCGCTACAGGATGGTAGTTGCCGCTCTTCCCTGCCTTTCTTTAGGAATCTCAACGCCGCTCATCCTTAAAAAGCAGTGCAGCATTTGGCCCGGCCCTGCCAGATGATACTTTTTTTTAAAACAGTTAAGCAACTTTCTTGGTCCGGGTATGTAAGAGCTGTGAAAAGAGGCTCCGTGCCGACCCCTCCCAGATGCCGGGGAGCAATTGTGGGGCGTCAATGTGGCATTACTGTCAATTAACTTTGGACACGGCGATCAGGGGGCTCATTTGGAGGAAGGGGATGACACGCGTTTTGTAGATCCATGGGCCTGGCACTGCGCAAAAGATTTGTTCCACCTGGTCCCATGGGGATGCAGAAGATAGGGAAAACTCTTCCATCTTCTAGAATTTACTCAACTGCCCAGGCTTGTGGGGTTCCATCAATGACATTGACACTCATGACCAAAGGGCTCTTTGGCCAGTTTGTGAATCTTTCCAGTTACCAATTCCGATGTAGAAAAAAAAGAAATAAATATTCCAAAATATTGGAATATAACTATATTCCTATAATATAGTCCAGACTAAAAATTGTCGGTTTTGTTCCTGGATAGAACCTAGTGATTATTTCTAAGCAAGTCAGAATACCGCTGAAGATGTTAGACCACCAATTCCAATTCTGTAATCCCAAATCTTGTGGCTCTTTCAGGAAGTACCCTTGAACGTGAGGAAGCAATAGTGCTTATGCAGACGAACCTGTACATCATCACCAAAGACAAAATGCTTTCCCCCCCCAGAATAATTGCCTTATTCATATGTAGATTTAATTAATTATAACTCGTGATTACAATTATCTTTTAAGTGATTCATCAAGTGGCAGGTCTAAATCACATCTTACTTTTTAAAGGGCTTCTTAGTTTAATTCACCATGCCTCTATTAAACTCCACTTTTTTTTTACACTGACTGATTTCTAGGTGATCTCAGAATCCTTGTTTGATTGAAACATCTTTTAGGTGTTTAATTAATAACAGAGCGTTAAGGAGAAATGAGAGATAAAGTGTCATTCAGAAACTGTTTGTGACACCAGTACATTTGATGCATAAGGGAAGAATAGAAGTGCCTGAAGAGAATTTGCTCTCCAGTATTACCAGAGAATTGGTCCAGTTTGCCCAGTGCACTAGCCAAAGTATGATTTACTTGATATTGGCTTAGTATCATATTAGACTCATCTTTTATTCTGATCTGTGCCTTACCATGTTAATATCAATTCAGTTAATTGTGCTTTATTTAAACTGTGACTAAATGTAAAGTGGACAGAAGATTAGGTTTTTTTTCTCCAAATAATTTTCCTTTAAAATAGGAGCATTTTAGATTTCTTGTGTCTATCATCATGGAAGGCAGATAAGTTTTTGTTTCTGATATTCCAGTTTTGAGTAGTCTAAACTCAGTAACATTATTAATTATCCTTTAAGAAAAAACAGCAAAATAGAATATATTCTGAAACCTTAAAGCTAGCAGAACAACAGAGTCATTTTAAATTATGACTGAATAATGTGTTTGTTAACAGAATTATAAAAATATTACATGCAAATATAATTAATTTTATGTACATTTTTATTGAGTCAAAAAATTGTATCCTGCTCTTGTAAATTACATCTAATGAAGATAAAATTGTTTCCAATTTTTTTAAAAAACACTGAATTCACATTTGGATGGCCTTATTCATCAGTGTTGAAAAGTTCTATCCCCTATTTAAGTCCTGGGGAATTGCTGAATGACACTATGAGAAATAAACTGCCTCTTTAAAACTGATTATCAAAGAGATATTGGAACCAAAATAGATTACTTGACAGCAAACAGAAAATATGCCTCTTTATAAGTAGCACCATAAGGATAATGATTTCCACCCTTATTCTGATTTGAGATGATAAATTATCATTCATTTATTCAAATGCATATGAGTTTTTAAAAAAATCTTTTATGTTTTTGGGGATGGGCAAATTATTATTTTGAAGAACGGATTTAATTAATACCTCTTTTATTGGCAGTACATTTCTTGCTGCTTAATAGTATTCCCATTGTATTCCAGACAGAAAAGGGAGTAACTAATCAGTCTCCCTTCCCTGCTAATCCCTAACCCCTGATATTTGTTGCCTGACACATTTGGTTCACTCAACCTATTAGTGGCACTGATCTGGTTTGTTGACAAATATAATGGCATTATCCAGCTAACAATTCTTTAAATTGTGACCCTCCATCCTTTACGTGAGAAGGTATACGTAAGTATGGTGGCCATGAATTTGGAGTGATGTCTCTAATGCTGGGAAAGGTATAAGGAAATAAAAGATGACCAGTAGAAATGGACTCAGGATGGACTCAGCGTGACCTGACAAAACCGCGAACGTCATAAGCGCGCCGACAACACCACGGCGCTAAAACCACAATGTCAAAAGCGCGCTGACAACAGCGTGCCGACAGAAGTGCAATTTAATTTAAGGTAAGGGTTAGGGTTAGGGTTACGTTACAGCGCGCTTCTGTTGGCGCGCTTTTGTCGGCGCGCTTTAGGGCTAATTCGTCGCTCATTCGTCGTGCGGTTTTGTCACCGTGCTTTAGTCATTGCGGTTTAGTCAGGTGCGCTTTTGTTGTGCGCGCATTTGTGGTGGAACCGGACTCAGTTATGGTAGCCATGAATGTACCATTGGAAGACTGCAAAAGCCAGCTTAGGGAT